CGGACAACACCTTCCCCTCTCGTTGCTATGCATCACCATGATCTTGCGTGTGCGTAGAAAAATTTTAAAATTACTACGTTCCCCAACAAATCACAAGTCAGGGTGAGATGGGGTACCCACTGTTGCTTGTTGATGATGCCATGGGAATCCCAATTTCAGGTCATGCCTATGATGAATTCATCCCACCACCATTCTGCGCCGAAGACAGTGCAGTCAATACTTTGCTCGCGGTTTATGCTAAACTATGCCAACATAGGTTGGCGCATGGTGCAGAAGGCGAAGGTGTAACATCCCAAATTTTCAATTTGAAATGTTGTGCATTAGATGATCAATGCATATCATATTTTATTTTGCATTTTGGTTGATCCTACAAATTCTACGCAACTCAATGACCCACGGAGAGAGTTGGGGATTTCGTTATTTTCATATTTGAGTTTTCCCAAATTTTGAGAATAGGATCATTTGATTTTATTTATTTTATCATCAATTATTTCTATTACAAAAATATGAGAGAGGGAATAAAATGACTTTTCCAAAATAAAGAAATATTGAGGATTTAATAATAAAATCAAATAAGATTTTATTTCGGAGTTTTTCGATGTTTTATTTGAATTTAGGAAAAATGTGCGTTTTTCAAAATTGCATTTAGGTTCCAAATAAATGTTCACCTTGTGCGGCTTGATTTTTGAAGCCCGTGAAAATTTATTTTGGAATTTTTGAAGTCCGTTTAGTATTTCTTTTTATTTTTTTCTTCCGAGCAGAATAATAATAATAAAAAAACGAACCGACCTAGGGGCCGTGTCTGACCCGGACTCCCGACCCACTAGGCTTTATAAGCCGAGGGGGGGGGGGAGCCAGCAGAGGCCCAGCCACCCGCGCCCCAAACCCTAGCCGCACGAGCGCCGCCGCCGCCGAGGTTCGCCACCGCCTCGTTTTCCGTGCCAACGTTAAAAAAATCGGTTTTCGTCGGTTTTTTTAGATTCGGTTTTTTTAAATAGATCGGTTTTTCTGGTTTATTTAAATAGTGAGCATTCGTCCGTTCGTTTGTTCTAGCGAACGTTCGTCGTTTTTCTTTTTCTCGGATTAAATCTGCGATTTTCTGATCGCGATTCCTGATCCGATTTTCGTTTTAGTATAACTTTTCGCTCGTTTATCGGAATCAGGCGATTCAAGCGCCTAGAGTTTCGTCTCGAAACCCTCTATCCGTTTAACCAACTTAAACAAGATTTTGCTACTGTAAAATTTGCCCTAGATCCAGATTAGTAGAACGAAGTTGATTTCTTTCACCGTTTGACTTTCGTTGCTTTGTTCGATTTGATTTTTTTTGCCAACCGGAGTTTTTAAGTTGAACCTTCTGGTTAGATCTCTTATTTGAATTTTACCCGTGCATTAGATGTGTACTTATTGTATACTTGTTTGTTTGTCTGCGATAGAATACCCGGAGTGCGCCGCCTGTTACTTCGAATCGTTAGGTTTCGCGGATCATCACCAAGGCAAGTAACACTTTGATCATACCTTTTCTACTACCCAGTTTTATTGCATTAGATCAATCCTCACATATTGCATGATTAGGATCTAATTAAATCGTGGGATGAGAAGTAGATGAGGTAGTACCTATTACCTGTTATTATCAAACCTTTAGGAGTTACTCTACGTTTGCTTATTATGCCATGATATGCTCGTAGACATGGATTAGGTTTTGAGAGTATTTATGACAGATGTGAGATTGTTAATTAATGGTTTACTTAAGGTGGCAACTTAAGCACACATCTGGGTGGATTGAGGCACCTGGTTATTCTAGGATTGCCTGTCTAGGCACCTGGGTATTCCAGGACTTGCCTGTTTTCTTTTGGACTGCCACCCAGGCTCAAAGGGATCATGAGACTATTCATACTAGAAACTTCCGTGTGCAGCCACAAGCTATTATGTGCTCTAGCATAGTTGACTAAGTTGTGCGAACTCTTCCAGTGGTAGACTAGCAGATGTAGGGGATGTAGCTGGTACGGTATACCCGATCGTAAGGTGCTAGCGCTTCTGAAAGACTATGTCTCGATCATCCGTCTTCTCAAACACCATGTAGTCCGAGAAACCAAATGGAGGCGATCGAGTCTTGTGGGGAAAAGTGCGCAAACCTCTGCAGAGTGTAATAAACTAATCATGGTTAGCCGTGTCCCCGGTTATGGACATCTTGAGTATCTAGTACTTGGATTATCATGTGAATCTGAACATGTTACTCTAAATTAATTTTGTTGGGTTATGTTTAATAATGATGCTTAATTGGGATTGAGAATGCTGTTAACTATTCTCAATGTTTAACAACTACCATGATAGTTAAATAAATTTATTCCTTTGCAGTAGGGAAAAATTGGCTTTACGCAAAACTGTAACCATAGAGCTTTCCACCAGCCAAATATGCATATAGAATAACTGTTTCATTACATTACTCTCTATGTGTTACATTGCCAGCATATTTCATGTGCTGACCCGTTTCGGGCTGCAACGTTAATGTTGCAGACTTTTCAGACGACGATTAAAGAGTTTTTAGGTCGTGGTTCTATACTCGGTGATGCCATTGGAGTTGATGGACTCACTTATCTTCCAAGCCTTCCGCTGTTATCATCATTAGATGGCCTTAGGCCATATTGGTTGTAATAAATTCTCTTTTGAGACACTCGATGTAATAAGTGTGTGATTGCTACTCTGCTATAAATCCTCCGAGTACTGTGTTGTGTCAGCATTACTGATACAGGGATGACACCGGAGCACAGAGATCAGACTGTTTGAGGTCTAGTCGCTACAGAAGGTCTTGTCACAATCAAAGAGTGGACATACTACTTCCTTGATGACAAAGAGCGGCTCAAAGACGTCACCGAGGTAAACTATCCAGTGGATTTCTATGCTGCAATTGATGATCCGCTGTTAAAGAATCACAACTTTCAACTCACAACTCAAGGGAATAAAGAACCCTCGGTATTATTTTCGTGCTATCGGATGAACTATAAAGCGCAATGCTCAAGGTTAGAGTACCGAGCTGCTTTTATTGCTGCTTGGCTATGTTTATACTGCATCCCAATAAGCACGGGGGACTTCATTAGGCCTGAAGTTATTACTGCAGCCGTGAGTATTGCAAAGGGGACGAGGAGGGTCATAGGCGTGGCTAGCTTGGCCCATCTTTACAGATGCTTGGATGACATACACCATGCTATTGCAACAGGTGCGGGTTCAGCAAGTGAGCACAAGTTGCCATTGCCTGCGCATTTCATCATGGGATGGTTCGCAACGTATTGGAGGGCTATGCCATATTCCTCCACGTCCTCAACAAATCTGACAAAGAACCTTCCATTTATCATGGATAGGTGGAGAGCCGACAACCCCAAGATTGATCTTGTTGGCGCCCATAACATATTTTTGGACGTTGATGAGCAACAACATGGCCTATTGTCACTGGATTTCCTGGGTAGGTTAGGTCCTTCCCGATTACCAAAAGCAGAATCTGTGCATCTGAATGACTGTCGAGAGACATCAGAGGAAGAGCGAACACTAAAAATTTCAGAGATTGATATTATAATCAGCAGCGTAGTTGGAGGGGTATCTTATAGGCGTTGCTAACAGCAAATAAACCAAGTTTATTGCCCCCATCGCTTCGCTCGTGCTCACAACTGTGATCAGGAAGTCCCTGATTTTCCCATGGATGGACTTATGCAGTTTTCTGAAATATTGCAAGGAACTATAGAGGAAACTACAGAGCTCCTTACCCGTCGTCTTGGCCATCTACGACCAGGAGGGCATAGCTTCGAGCTACTGCCAAGAACCCGAGCAACTCAATGTTCTTATGAATACATGAGGTGGTGTGTCTCGGCATTGTCTTTCTTGAAGGAAACAGACATTTTTGCAATGGTATTGATATACCTCGCACTATAAAGAGCACGTCTCCTACAAGTGTTTCTGGTAAAAAAAAAATTTGCCTTGCACATACTTCTAGCATCTCTTATTTTTTGCTGACGTATGAATTTGATTTGCAGCAGTTATATTGGAGAGCCCAAATGACGTGGGAATGTCCACACCATCTGCTCTTGAGGAGGCGAGTAATGATGCAACACCACCAGTCACGGCTAGCAAGCCGGCGCTGGTTATACCAAGCAACGCGGGCTCTCCTGTTGAGGCTCCTGCTGAAATTGCTCCGGATGCCCCGGCTAGTCAAGCCAAAATATTCTATCCAAGTTCTGGTGACCAGGGCAACCAGGGCACAAAGGAGGTTGTCACTGAAGCAGTCGTGGCTGCTGTTCCTTCTAAGGAAGTTCTTGTCAATGCCAAAGGGAACACGAGTTCATCCGAGACAACCACAAAAAGCTCCAAGAGTGCAAAGAAGGCTTCTTCTGAAGCTCTCGCTAAGGGGGCTTTGGCCGTGGAGACTAAAAGATCTTCCAAAAGTGCTCGTGCCCAAAGACATGATGATGCAAATAGTACTGCTGCAGCTATTGCTAAAGAATCACTCGACCCTTCAATGGACATTGATGTCAGTGATCTTGAAAACAAGAAACCATCGGATGGAAATAACCCTAAAGAGGATTATTCTGAGGACAAGCATGGAGCTCCCATCTTGCCAGGGAGTGGTGTGAAGCGCAAGTCCGACTCCGCCGTGGTATCTCAAGTAACACAGGATCTGGGAGGAGGCAAAATCTCAAAGGTTAGCTTGCTCTCACTTTCTCCACACATTTGATTATTATACCCCTATTTAATATGGAGTCCTTTTTTGTGTTTACAACTGTTACGGTGATTGGCGATTTTATGAGCCGTCTATCCACCTTGATCTGACGGTGAGAAAATAGGAGTTACGAGGAGTTACAAAACTAAAATTACGGCAAATTATATGTAGCGGTGGGACCATTACAATATTTTAGTGGGACCGGTTGTTTTTTTCAAGGGTAAATTCGTCACACAATAACCCGCGGTGCCCACATCAAACTCACGTATCTGCCTAGCCAGCCGCGCCGCGGGGATTATGGATCGCCACCGCATGGCTCAGCCATGGCCACGTCGCCGCCGTCCGCCTCCGCCATGGCCGGCCTAGCGCCGCCGTCCATGTGCGCCATGACCGGCCCAGCGCCCCTGTCCACCTCCTCCATGGCTGCAATGGCGCCGCTGTCCACCTCCCCCATGTCCGCCTCAGCGCCGCCGCCTGCTTCCACGGTTCCACCGTGCTCACCCCACTGCCGTTGTTTACCTTGACCATGGCCCCCAACAGCTCTTCCCATGACCAATCCATCCCCCTATCTTACCATTCCCATCGCTGGCAAGGTCCGCCATAAGAGGCGGACATGAATCCCCAAGATCAAGATCCAAGAGGACTAGGATGATTGCAGCGTCAGAGAAGAATTTGTAACAATCTACAATAAGGTAAACCCCCTCTTCCAATTAGCATAAAAGCTTCAAGTTCTCCCCTTTGTTCTTCAATTAGCATATTCTCTGGATGGTCTGCAGCTTCGAGTAGAAAGTATAAACACATCAATGAGGTCTTGTTTCATTATGATAATAGAACACATAATCTGTAGAAGTAGGAGGCAATATTTTCATTTGCTGAGTTGATGAATAAGCTTTAGTTCATCTTATACCAGAATGGCATGAATCATGACACTGATGTGCTTTCATGGCAAAAATAATTCTACAGCACTAGAAACTCCACATATGTGTACTACATAACAAGAGTAGCCCAGATAACAGGAGATACAAGAGGAATATTACAAGTGTTGAAAATTATCAATAACTAGTAGGTGATTAGTTACTGTTAATTTTTGTAGAGTTTATATCACTAAATTCACAATTGTAGATCTAGCATAAAGATGGTTAGTATAAGAAGTAAAATCACTATTAGTTACTGTTCATGTACTCAAAATGTAAAAGAAATTACCACAAAATTATCCGAAGAAAAATAATCTAAATCAAAAGGAAATGGTTGAGACTCCAAGGAAATAAGTGGTTAAAAGACAAGGAAATCATGTAGGTCGTAATCATGTACCTGTTTGTCTATCGTGGATTGCAACCAACCTGAACTTTCTGCATTGCAGTGTCATGCCCAACTAAATTCCACAACAAGCTAGCTTGAACTATCTCGATAGCTTGAATTGCAGAAGCAGTAGCAGTAGTGGTCAGTACTGAAGTTGATCTACTAGGATTATTTTATTGTTATGTCTTAAAATTTCTGGTGCCTCTTGCTTCATAAGAAAAGATTAAATCTTTCAGATATTACATTTTTATTTGGAAGCAACTGAAGTGTAATCAACCTTTTCTTCTCAGCTAGTAGTTGAATGTAGCAGTATGGGAGTTAGTAATTGGATTATGTAGTTCACCTACCAGCAAGCACTCTTACATTTAGTTCGGTCACATTCTTTTGAATACTGGTAATTGAATGATACAGGACCGTGCTAATACAGACACGAAGGTATGTTCTTTTATTTACTTATTATTATTTTACCATTATGTCATCGACATATAAACAAAAACCATTTTATAACCGCAGCAGGATGAGCAGGCACAATACCATTATCAAGAAATTTGACTTGTACATTGTAAAATATTATCCATTCTCGGATGATAGTGGTGATGCCATGAATGAACATGTTGGTTATAATGCCAAGTTACTACATATTATATAAAACAAATGGCTACATCATTTTTATGTTGATCTAACTACCATTCTATGCTTTTGGACAGGGTATGTACGAACAAAACAGAAATTCATGTGAGTTCAGGGATAGGGGCGAGGGGGGCTCGGACGAAGATGGGTCATCGCCAAGAACGAAGAAACAAGCATTTAACAATCCCAGGGAGGCATTGACTTTTGGCAGCAATGGCGATCTTCTTTAGTAGCCTTTTACTTTTTGTTAATGTTTATTAAGCTTGGGAGCTGATCTGTTGCTCCAAACAGTGTTTATAATTTATCTCCAACCAATAAACACTTCATTCAAGACATAATTGTGAGACTATTTTTACAAGAATATGCTTCCAACTTCAAAGTTTTGTTCAATTTTCAGATGATGGTTCGTTTGATGCCCACACACTAAATAGTGGCTTGTACTAATTTTCATCATTTCAACATTTTCAACATAAGGAATTCTACGGGCATGTGTTTTTCTCACTTATATCTACCACCTTCTCATTGCAATATCTTCCATGGTTTGGTTTTTATTTTTATAACATTGGAAATAAAAGAAATATCATAGCCAAAATTTCTTAATTTTATGACATTATGATAAAAATTTAGCTCATTTGGCGGCCCCCTTCTCCCTTGCGGGGCGCTAGGAAGCTTCGAGCCCGAGCCAGAGTGCCTTTGAGTTTTTGCGCTGAAGGCGCCTAGCATTGGACTCCTCCGTGGTTAGCGAATGCCGCGTGACCTCGCGGAGGAGTGCCTTCTCCGGGTCGACAAGGACCGAGCGTGCACACTGGCAGGAAGAGTTGGGCTCCTCCATGGCCGCGGCCCGTTGCCGCGCATGCTGGGCTGCCTTCGCCTCCAAATATGGCATGTGCATCCCCACGGGAGCCAAGAGCACGAGCACCCAGTGCTGCTTGGGCGGTGCTGGCAACGAAGGGGAAGGGGAGATGGCCGTCCTGCTCTAGGATCTGGAGCGGCGCAGAGCGGGACGGGCGAACACTGCCTGCATTGCATCGGTGTGACCTGGAGGAGCCGGCAGCGAATGAGATGGAGCTCGAGCTCCCGCCGGTGTCCAACCGCAAATGCTAGATGGTATTCCAGAGCAGGAGCTTCTCGTCGTCGGACACGTCGCTGCTAGAACCGGCGTCCTGCTTCACGAGGTCATCCAAGTCCATGGGATCGGTTTCGCTGCCGGAGTCGTGGCTAGACCTGGCCATGGTGAAGGAGGCGGAGAGATTGGGAGAGGAAGTGGAGAAGACATGAGGGGAGCGGAGAGGGCGAGAGGACTGAGAGTGACTATGGTTCGTCCGAGTCGGTGGGGTTTTTATGATGACGATAGTGGGAGCATGGTGGGCCAGAGTGGGCCGGTTCGACATGGCGATGGTGCGCGGGCGCGTCTAGGTCGGATATGGAGACTGCCGATCAGTCCAGGCGTTTGGGCCGGTTTTAAGCAGTGTAGTTGGATGCGGTTTTTGCGACCAAGCAGTGACCTGGCAGCCCACCCAGACGTGTGGGGCGGGTATGGTGTCCAGATGCTCCAAGACACGAATAAGGAAGTCAGAGTTGTGTCTCAGGGAGCAAAAGAGCAAAAAAGGAAGTGAGTTTTGGGAGTGCTGGCGCATACGGAGCACTTTAATGCTACCAGTCTGTCTGGAAAATTACATATTCAGAATCTAACAAGTTCATGGATACATGGCGGAGTTAGAATAACTGTAACAAGTTCTCCAAAGGAATTACTAGTACACAATTAACTGTGACGCAGGGGTGAGGACAGTGCCTGTCAGGCGAGACAGATGTAGACGATGGTGCTATCTGGCGATCCGGCGAGGCCATATGTAGACGATGGGTGGACGGAGACCATGTACCAGAGTAAGCATGAGTCAAACATGTGATCAGAACCACAAAGCTGGGCCCTGGAGCAGTCCTCATCACAATTACGAAATGGTTTTGTTCGTTCTCATCATCTTCAAGGAATTGCAGACGAGCACATGGGTTCACACTTTGGGAGCTTTTACATCCTCTCCTATTCCACATCAGTCTTCCAATTTGCCGATGCAGAAATCCTCAATGATGTCGAAGACTCATGTGCCATGCTGCAGGCTGAAATTGCGTCAACTTAGTATAGTTATGTGAAATATAGTTCTTAGTACAATGACATGCGAGCTTCACGTGCTCCTGAAAAGTATAATGGAATAGAAATACAAGTAGGAAAAGTCAGATCTAGCTCTCCATGTCAAAACTAGCCAATAAGAAACATCCACATAAGTGTTGTTATTTAAACTAAAATTTTCTCCTTTGAACAATCCATCAGCTAGAACTATAAATTTACTAATGCAAATATGTATTGTCTTGTTTTGGATAACAACATCATGTACCAAGATATCATGGATATGGACCAGTAAATTTTTTCAAAGGGCAAACACACACAGTTTCAGTGATAACAGAAAATAAAATACATGGGCACTAAATTATGAATATGAATCAAGTGATTTGAGTCGAAATTATGGATGAGAATAAGGCTCGGGAAATTGGCAGCACACCTTTTCCTTAAGCTGGTTGGAAGCTACATGTTCAAGTTTTACCAAGGTTGATTAACTTGAATTGTGGACATGCGAAAACATAATTAGAACTGTCGTTTGTAATCAGTATGGGGCAAATGACAACGCTTAAATATAACAGTTATATCAGAATACATATTACAATTCATAAAGTATAAGGTCCCAAATTCAAAACCAGGCATACCTGAGCAGATGCCAGGATATGTGACAGTACCACTTCCAATATCTGATCCAGTTCATCCTACTACTGCAAGAACAAGTTCTCTGAGTGCAACATCCCCCACAACCCCATAAGTGTCATGGACGAACTGAAACAATAGCGCTTCAATCTACCAAACAAAAAGACCTCACAGGCGATGCAGCGCATGCCGATAATAACTTTCACACCACACCACCAACGAAAGCACCCCAAGGACTAGGTGATTATGCTAAGTAGATGTTTCCATGATCTAGATAAGTCATAAGCTTGCTCTCAGTATACTTATTTGATTTTCAGTAAGAAAGCAAGCTAGATTTCAGATTTGGACTCTCATAGCTACTCTAATCAGGTGCTGAAATCAATATATCTGAACTAAAGAGGATTACATTTTATCAAACATCCCCCAGCGCATAAACCATACATCTTCATCATATCGCAGGGGAGAGCTTAATTGTGAGCACAACCCAATACATGAATATTCTTTTTTTCCTTGGAAAAGACATGAGTATGCTAATCACCACAGTAAGCATGAACATAATATGTTCAGATTTGTGAACAGGCAAAAAAACAGAGTTGTAGTACTAGAGCGTATCGGCAAATGTATTCCTCTGAACCAACAGCTGGTTGGGCGTTGTTGAGTGGCAATCACACCATGGGACTGCCATCGCGCAAACATGAGGATCAGAAGAGCTAGTACAACACGCATGCAGTTACCTGTAGTGGGAGGGAAGGTCGCCGGCGGCGCTGACTCAGGCAGTAGGGTATCCGACGTACGGTGAAGAGAGATCATCTGTCCATGGCGGCGGGTTGAGGGCGATGGGGCAGCCGAGGCTTCGGTGCGCCGCGATG